AGCGACAGGTGCGGAGCCCTTTGGTGGGATGAGCGTCCAAAAAGCGCACGCGGCTGTGGCGCCAAGCACATTTCGAATTAAAATGTTTCAAGCTGCAGGAAATGGGACTCCCATCATAGGGCCCCCAGCCCACCCCACTTTGAAGCCACTACAGCTGGGACCAAAGGAAAGGGCGGTGAGTGGAAAGAGGCTGGCAGAAGTGCTAGTGGAATTACAAAGAGTTTGATTGCACATTGCCACATTGGCTTCTATGGCCACAAGCTGGCAGCACGAGACTGCTTTGAGAATGCTCTCCTGCCAGTCCATGAGCAGCACACCAGGGTCTTGGGTGCTGCAACTGCCAAAAGGGATTGGGGACCGGAAACGAATTGACACCGCCTCGTTTGCAGCCAAGAATTCCATTGGCTGGGTGGATTTGGTGGACCCTGCCAAAGTCAGCAAGTACAGCCACTTGGGCACACTTGGTGGTGGCTTCGGAGGTGTGCAGGTAATGGGCAAAGATGCTGGGGTTGGAAGGAACCCCCCACCTCGACCGCCAAGCAGTCCGCAGCTTTAGGAGGGGTGGAGATGCACACCCTTTCACCTGGCAAGAGTTGCAAGAGTGAACTTTGTCCAGTTGCATGAGCATTTTTGAGCCAAAGAGGTTCAAGTGGCTGCACTCAACCTGGGCCAAGCGTTGCAGGAGGCCACCACACGTCCAAGGGATAGGATTATTCAGTATCTTTTCCATTATGCCCCATGAAATCCGACTCGTAGGTCCACGAGCGTGATGTGGACTCGGACCTACTGTCCTTGGTGGTGCGGATGCCTGTTGAACGGGACCTGTCGGGGGGGGCCTGGGCCTGGAATGATGGATAGGCCTCCTACATGTAGAACCTACTGGAACCTGGAGGTTGGAGGAAGATTATGTTCGACTGCTTTTGCTTGGAGTTCCATGATGATCCACATTAATTTTCAATATTTTTTGTTGGTATGGATGCAAATAAAGAAATGCACAAATAAATAGCTAAATGATAAATGAATCCATATTATGTATGTATAATATATATATATACATATTGTGTAGAGATAGGGGTAACGAGAGAGAGATAGAGAGATAGAGAGAGAGAGAGAAAGAGAGAGAGAGAGAGGGAGAGAAAGAGATAGAGAGAGATAAGTAGAAGGAAAGAAAGGTCCTTGGTATTTGGCATGAAATAATATTCTACAATCTTCCCATTCTTTGAGTCGCAACAATATAAAACCGTACAACCACTTGGGGCTGGAGCCCGCAGGTTGCTTGACGCCCAAGAAACGCCTTTTTGCTGTTTTCCACTCGAATGATATAAGATCCCTAAGTCAATTTTGAACCCTGGGGACCCTTCAGAACATGAAGGACATGAAAAGAATCCGTAGCCATCCTTTCTATAGTGGCCTTGGCAATGCCTTATGTATATGGATGTTTGCATGGGGCTACCCAAAAATAGATGGTCTATAATGGAACACCCTATTAAAATGGATGATTTGGGGGTACCCCCATTTTAGGAAACCCCCATAATATATATATATACATACATACATATATACATATATATGTATGAACACAAAGGCATGAAATCAATGTAGGCACCGACACAAATTCCACACATTAATTGTTGGTGCCTTTTGGGCAAGTGAGTCATTTCTTTACATTGACATCAACTGATTGAATTGATACCCATGTTCTCCCATGTTCTGACATATTTCTCATATCTTGAAGCTGCTGAACGTACTGATTTGAATGAATGTCCTCACAAAGGTAGAAGATGCATTTTCTGCTAGTTTGATGGTCATTTGTTTGATTCTATATGTGACATACACTTTTGATACATGTAGTTGACCATGTACTTACGTATATATATATATTATAATTGCGGATGTAATCATTGTGTATATTATACATGAATATGTTGGTTTTTGGGGACCCCTGTCCCCAGCATTTTTTTTGCAAATTCCTTAATTTCCTGGGGTCCCCTACTCCGTCCAGCACCATCCAGCCCGGGTTTGTTTCAGGTGAAATTGCAGATGTCTGGGTATGACTTTAAACTTGTGACTTGGTGAAAGAATTGGATATCATATGATACCCTCTGGTATATTAACATAGACCCTGGCAGACAGGGCGACAGGAAGATTCATGTCCATTAAAAAAGAGTGATTTTCAGGGTCAACAAGTTAGTTTACTAGGGGGTACTATCATCGGGCAATGAGGGATAAATAACAATAGCTTTAGTCAAGAACAATGTGGGATACCATGGGACAATGAGATATAATACCCCACTGGTTATGACTAACATAGCTATTGAAAATGGTGATTTTTTTAGTGGATTTTCCCATGAAAAATGGTGGATCTTTCCATTGCTATGTTAGTTCACCAGAGGGTAATGAGATGTACAATAATACACACTATATATATATAGTATATACATATAGAGTATTTTAATAATGAACAAAACTATTAATAACCATCATGGGAGATCACCAGTTGCCCTCCACTGTGTCATCAGCGAAAGAAAACAATGCATCTTTTATGCACGCCATGTGGAGCTGATTACCATCGAGCTGAGGGTCACGAAATAATCCATGGTAAAATCTATGGTAACATCTATGATAATCTATGGATAATCTATGGATAATCTATGGATAATCTATGCAACGTCTATGCAAAATCTATGGTAACGGTAAATCTATGATAATCTTTGATAATCTATGATAATCTATGGATAATCTATGGATAATCTATGCAACGTCTATGCAAAATCTATGGTAACGGTAAATCTATGATAATCTTTGATAATCTATGATAATCTATGGATAATACATGGATAATCTATGGATAATACATGGGTAAGACATGCAGAATATATGGATAGTATATGCTGTGAATAATATATCTAAGTAAATTGTAACGACCTCACTGTTCTCCCGCACTGGAATCATGGTTAATAAGGGAAATCAGCCCCAAATGGCCGCAAAATTCAGGTTAGAGGATTTTGTTTAATTTACCCAGACATGTGAATCGCAAAAGCAAAATACAGCAAATATATGAATAACACCAAATCTCCTTGTATTCCTTGTGGTCGTAAATGACCACATTCTCGAAAACAATTGTTACAACACGCTTTCTCAAACAAAAACACATACTTTATGTAAGACTTAGTGTGGTTGGTGGTTTGGAACATCATATATATATATATATATTATATATTTTTTTCCATTCAGCTGGGAACAATAATCCCATTTGACTTTCATATTTTTCAGAGGGGTTGAAACCACCAACCAGATGATTATGGATTATTATGGATGACTATTGATGACTATTGATGACTATTGATGACTTTTGGTCATTATTGATTGATTGTTGGGGACTTAGTGTATCAACATTCGGGTCTGTCCTAGTTTTCCATCGTTTTCCATCACTGTTTTCCCATCAAATCACCGAGCTTGACCTGGGACATCCTGGGACACCGAGCCGAGCCGCTCAGCCCAACTCCGGCAGGTCATCATGTCAGCCACCCTGCAGGTGCAGCTGGTTGATGGATGGATATGGTGATTCATTAAAACGCTAATAATAATTTAGTAATATGCCTGGATGGATATCGATGGTGATTCCCCAAAATATGGTAATAGATGGTAATAGTACATAATAGGTAACTTGACCCATCCCCGATATCAGATCATATGTATACTTGTTTACTGTAGTTGACGTTATAAGAGGTATAGTTCTTGGCTGAAGGGGGTCAGTGTTTTTGGGTAACTGTTGGCAGATCTCCCGCAAATTGGTAGATGTTTTTCGATCAGTTGGAACTCATGGGACGGGTGCTGACGAACCACAGATGGAATTGCTAATGGAAATCATGGGACATTTCCTGTACTAAATGACTTGACCCACGCACGCAATTTTGGGTGAGCTCCCCCGTAATAAAGCAAAAATCGGTTGTGCCCACAGGCGCACGCCAATTCACCGAATTTTCAAGCGGAAAACAATCTGCAGGGCGACCTCTTTACGCGATACTTCTCAGAGAGGAAGATCAAGACCATCTTTGTCGGTGTGAAGCGGTGCCCTGGGTGATGTCAGCTGGGAAAAAATCCTGGTGATGCCAATATCGCTGCCAAGGAATACCGCAGGAGTTTTTAAAGCACAATATTTTAAAGCACGATATCAGCTCTTGGACAAATTCTCATGTTGTTTTCTTGATGAAGGAATGAATGTGGGCAAGTATGAACATAATATGTCTTGCACCACGGTGGATAAGCATGATACGACCTATCATTTGTATTTTTTTGAAGTCTTTTGGGCACGAAATCCACAAGGTTTCTCGCACTGCCAAGACCAGCCACGCTGGGCCACTGCTTTCAATGCTCAAACATGTAAGTTTGCAAGTTTGCTTGCCTGACATGATTTAAGCTTCAGGGGGTGTCTTATATTGCTCCATTTTGCCGTGTGAAACATCACCTAAATAGTTCTATACATTTCTATACATTCAGATATTGATATGGTAGTTCCACAATGTTGTATAACTCTCTCAAAAGACAATGTTTAAAGATGGAAATCTAGTAGACCCGTTCTTTATCCTGCAGGTTCTGGCTTGCTTCTGTTGCTACGCGAGAGAGTGGACAATGAAAACTCATAAGTCACGTCAGTCTACCGATATTGCAGAGCAAAGGCAGAAGATCGTAAGAAAATACTGTAGTAAGCATGGTCTGCATATCCTTGATTATCCTTGCGTGGGTTCTTCCATGCACAAGTTACTGGATTTATGTTTTATTTTGTATTCTTGCTCCGCACTTGCAGTTGTGAATTCAAAAGCCCAAGTTGCATATTGTTCCAGCCACCGCAATGATCAAGTGAACTCCCGCACTGGAGTTTTTCTGAATTCAGGGATTACTTTAGCCAGCCCATCAAAAACATTTCAAAAACCACATGTTGCTATTTTCAGAGCCATAACGGCTGCATCTTGCCATGTACTGCCATGGTTCTCCCGCGGATGAAGAGACTTCATGATTCCTTGGTGAAACACGGCGGCATTTTGATCTCGCTGGGCTGCGTTCTGCTGCTGATCTCCCGGAAACGGCTGATTTCACGGCTTTTGTCCAGCTATTTCTCCCGCTATTTGCCCTACCTGGCCGCCTGGTTGCGTCGCCCGAGCTCACCCAAGGGCCGTGCCAACGGGGCCAATGGTAAGCTGCTACGGCCTCCCCCGGTACGGCCGGAGCCCTCGGGGAACTCGGGCCCCCCGTCCCCATGGGTGCTCTCCCCGGCCTCCAATGCACGGCAGCCAGGCCAGGTGCGCTTCGATCCCATGATTGCTGTGGTACCTATTCCCAGCCATTGCGAAATGCCACCTGAGAAGAGAGGAACCGCTGGAATGGGCCGGTGTTGATCTGTTATATATTCTGTTTTACTGGTAGAAAGTAGTTGAAAGGCCTAAACCAGATGATGTTCGTGGTCTTTTTCAGGGGATATTGTAGCACTATGTAGCACTTTTAAGTAGGTGCTTGGGTTTTGATGGGCTAAATGGATCTACATAGATCTAAATGGTCAGTAGCTCCAGTCTACACACGGTGATTTGAAGCCGCTTCTGATATCGTTTCGCTCAGCCGACCCAACCCTTGAGCTGTCTGAAAAACATCTTACTGAAATTGGACTTATATAATTATATATCTCAATAATTAATTCTCAATACAAGATACTCTCAGATAAATAAATATGTGCTCTGGTCAAAAGTTGAACCTCCCGCCACCTGTGCATGGGAATGGAGGAAGTGGCGTCGACTGAGACACACATATGTTCATCCCCCATGAGTAGAGATTGATACTGATTTCCGTAGTATAGGATGGATGACCTTACCCCATATTAACATTTATGAAGGCACACACACATATATATATATATATACATATATATATGATATAACTATATGTATGTATATATATACACATATCAACATACATGAATATATGTTGATATATTTTAATATGTATGTATGTATATATATATATATTAGCAAATGTCAGCAGATATTTCCACCTATCAACATATATCAACATAGCGGCATATATTAACATATGTAACAGATGTGAACAAATATTAACATATATTATCATGTATGTATTGACATATATTAACACATATTTACATATAACAACATATATTAACATATACTAACAAATATTAACACATATCAACATATATCAACTTGCATATATTAACATATATCAACATACATCAACATATATTTAAAATGTTACCATATATTATATAACATGTATTGGGATTTATCAACATGCATTCACACATATAAATACATAGTAACACTTATCAACATATTCATATATATAGGAATATATACACTATATTAACCATGTAATTAACCATATGTATATATACATATCATATATTAACCATATATATATATTATAGTATATATATATGTATGTATATTATTAACCATAGATATATCATATATTAACCATATATATATATACATATATATATATACATATATATATATATATTATATATATACATATCATTGACCATATTATATATATATGTATATTATGTATATTAACCATGAATTTGAACCATGGCACATCTTTGAATCCCGCCTTTTTCGGCGTTTTTCGTTCAGGACACCTCTGGTGGCAGCCGGACGACTTTGTGAATTTCCTCCGGAGCCGCTTGGATATCGCCGAAGCCTACAGGGCAGCTGCCCACAGCCTTGGAGTAGATACCTGGCTGGTGAGGTGATGTCATGGCTGTTTGATTTTTAATCAATGGTTTTAATCAATGTTTAAAGTAGTAAAAACCAAATGTCAGCATTATTTGTTGATTCCATTGTTTTTTGGAGTGTAACTGAAAATGGGTGAAACTGGGTGTGTATATATATATGTGTTTGTCAACTGATGTCAAATGGTTTTCTGAACATAGTGATGATAAATCAGTGGATTATTTGGGTGTCCTGTTTTCAGACACACCACTTATACATTTTTTCTTATATAAGCAGTTTATTGTGTTGGTCCTGTTGCTTTGACATGACATTTTGGAAGTCTATATTTAGAGAATTGAAGATTGTTGATGTGGTTCCCTCAAAAAAGTGGTAGCATGGCTAGTTGGTCAGTTCTCACAGCTTGTGCGATGGTGGAAGTTCCGCAAAGTCCCTGTGTTTTCCTGCGGCTGGGACATTTTTTTCGTCAGGTAACACCCTTTACTTGGAGGTTACACTTTCACTTTCCATCTATCCTGGTGCATCCACTAGCTGAGTATGGCTCAAGTGATGCCATGTCATTAGGTATCCAACAACTTGCATTTGGACGGATGGCATGTTTATATTTGTTTATTGCTTTGGATTTTTGCGGCGCGGAATCCATGAAGAACAGAAGGAAGGAAGGCTAAAGAATGCAAGAAAGTTGAAAACAATGGGGAAGGTAGGAAGAACGGGGGGAAAATACAGCTGATAAACACATTTTTTGTGTTACTTTGTGCTGGCCGTGTTTTTTTTTGTCTCGATGTCTTGGAGTCGTGGCATGTTGTGGCTAATTACTTGGTTTTGACTCATCTGGCATCTTTGCTGTTGTCTCTTCTGGTTTCTTGGCTTTCTTTTCTTGGGGGGGTTCAAGGTGTTTGTTGTTGCCTTCTTGGGTTTATTTCATTCTTGCCTTCGTTCAATTTGGTTTGGACCTTTGTGATTTCTTGGGCTTGTGGATTGTGTTTTTATGCTTTTGACTTTTGACTTCTTTCTGTTTAACTTGTTGCTTCTTGACTCGTTGGGCTTGCGAGAAGGACCAGCTAGAAGAACAACGAAAACATCCACTCCCATCATTCAACAACCAGAACAAGAGCAAGAATACAACATAATATGTACATAAACACAACAGGAACCTAGCAATATGTAGCAGGACGCCAGGGCAATGCAGGAGGTGAAATACCACAACATACCACAACATACCACAACAGCAGCAGCAATAATGAGAACGGACAAGACACATGCTGCACCTACCGTGAAAGAATCTTGTGCCGAAATGCTGACAATTCTGTATAAATGATAGGCCCAGTTTCTTTGTTATTTTCTGTAGATTTCAGTATACCCCTTAGCCTTTGTGCTGATTAGGTTCACATGTTTGTTGTGTAAGTCCATGTTTCAGTTGGTCAAATCATGTGAAATCATGGTAAATCATGGTAAATCCACATTTTAGTCGGTGAAGTCATTGTTTTCAATCGCCAGTCGCTTGAATTGCCCCGCCACGTGGCGTCGCTTGCGACGAGGACATGTGCAATGTCTCCAGTGTTGGTCGGCATGCCAAAGAGGCTTACGCGGCGACCATTGAGGCCTATCCCAGTTTAAAGGACCGGCCTTGATGTGGGAGCAAAACCTGAAACAAAGTAAAACCTGGGAGTTTTTTTGTTATTGACATCCCAGTTTTAATGTTCCTTTTCATCTATGGGATGTGAAAGCTATGGTAGGTGTATTTGAACTGATCCATTCCATTCCCAAGCGGTTCTGAGCATCAAACAAGGTTGGATTTTTTGGTTCAAGCTATGGCTATGCATGTTCTTTAGTCCTTTGACTAATCCTTTCCTTAGAAACCACCCCACCCCTAAATAAACAAGTTCAGCACTAAAACCAGTACCGTAGGTTCTTTGGAAGCCTTTTTGTTTTCTTGGTAGAGAGACCGAAACATTGTATTCACCCTGATTGACTCTATAACTAAATATACAAAGTATATAAACCCACTACTCTTAATTCTGTGTACCCATTGTTCATATACCTTTCATTGTATACCCCTTACTGTACCATACGATGATACGATTATTATGATAACCACTATGATGATGATCACCAGGACGACGAGGACGACGACGACGACGACGACGACGACGACGACGACGATGATGATGATGATGAGAAGAATGATTATGATCATTATTATGAATAGAAACTATTGTTTAGTCTATCAGTTTATTATGATGATTAGTGATTATTGGTGATATACTAATAATGATGATGATGATTAGTGATGATTGGTGATATACTATTTAAATGTAAACAATAGTAATCGACTATAATAAGCATAGTAATGAATAACTAACACATTTTTACTGTCACAATAGGTATACAACAGTATATATATATAAGTAAGTATGACTACAGTAACTGTAACTATGACTATTCGATCATTACCCTCTGGTAATTTAACGTAGCTATGGAAAATCACCATTTTCAATAGCTATGTTAGTCATTACCAGAGGGTAAATGTTCCAAAGCTTACACCCTAAAAGCCCCAGCACTGCCGGGCCTCCAGGACGAATCCCGTCGCGGGTTGGGTTTGGGACGACGGCACCAGCGGGCACGCAACCGAGACGCTGGGCCGCGTTCAGCGGGGAAACAGATGGACTGACCTCAGGGATGTACGATATATGGAGGTTTCCGTCAATGGGGGATCCCCAAAATAGATGGTTTATAATGGAAAATCCTACCAAAATGGATGATTTAGGTGTACCCTCATTTTAGGAAACCTCCCAAATAGATATCGTATCCCACATGCATCATGGTTAAGGATCTAAAACGTTGAGCCAACGAAAAAAATCAAGGAAAGAGAAGGGGGAGTGACTTGCAAACATGGGTGGTGACTGGTTTGTACCAGCGAAACATGGGGTCTACAAGCGGCCAACTAAACATTGCTTCAGTGTACACCAGCAAGACTTGGAGAAATGTACAGTGAGTGTTTTATTCCGATTTCACCAGCAAATGAGTGCGTATTACATTGTTCTAATTGTTCTATGAGACTAAACCAGCATGACTTGGGGATATGAAGAGTATTTCTTGTGGTGGATTTCATTTTTTTCAAGTGTTCATCTTCCAACTCAACACATGGGATGATGATTCCACCTGGAGGTAAAAAAATGATCACAAGGTTGGAATACAGCCAATGACCAATGAGAATTGGGAAAAATTGAATTGATCCTTAAAGAGTTATGGACTTGCAACCTGACAACAATGGGTGTGCAAGGCCCAAGAACAGGAATCAATCTGCATGAGAACCAATAGGAAAAAACATGTGAATGTCTACGGCTTGTGTAACCTACCCAACTTGGGCAGAAGCCATGCTCCTTGGGCCCCTTTCCGCATGACCCCGTGTGTGGAACATCTGCCGCTCCCCGAAGCGCAAAAACCCAAGGGCTAATTATTTCATAGCTGGTTGGTGATGTCAGCACATTCGAGCCACAAAATATATGGCATATGACGTGTCATCGTGTCATCGATTTTGATAGTTTCTGTATGTGGTATCGGATTGGTGCTTGGCAGTTCCAGAATTGTGATCATTTTTTTTGAATAGCTAATCTCACATCATCTAGCATACCCTCTGGTAATTTAACATAGCTATTGAAAATGGTGATTTATAGTGGATTTTCCCATTAATAGCATGGTGATTTTCCATAGCTATGTTAGTTTACCAGAGGGTAATCTTTCTGTTTAGTATACCCTCCTTTTTTAACTAACAGTTCGATGTAGAGTTAACCCACCATTTCTAGATCATTTTTCCAGGCTTTCATCTTTGGAGTTCCACAATTGGTTGAAACACTAGGCTTTCCAGTCTCAGTTTTCATCATTGATCCGAGTTCTCGATGGTTGGAAAAACACCATGAAATCACCATTAAATCACCATTATATCACCATTATATCATGATATTCCCATGGTATCCCCATATAATCCATGGATATCCATGGTATTTTGATCCCCTTTCAGCTGTTGATCCCCCCTTCGTTCCGTGGGTTTTTCGTCCGTCGTTCCACAGGACGCCTATTTGGCCGCGGTGGTCAACGAGCAAGGCCGCCAGCTCGACGTGGGCATCTCGGACAGCAATGCCCTGGCCTTGGTGGCGCGCCAAGTCTCGCAGAAGGACGAAGCAGAAGCAACTGCTGTGAATATATGGAACATCTACCCGTAGGATCCATGTATGGAATATTTACCTACATTGACCCCTAAAGTAATTTAAAATAATCCCAATGTAGGTAAATATTCCATACATGGATCCTCTGGGCTATGGATACGCAAAATCTATGGATAATCTATGCAAAATCTACGAATAACCTATGGATAATCTATCCCAAATCTATGCAAGAACTATCGATCTAGCCCAGGAAGAACAGGTGCATGTAGTACCCAACCAATCCAAGGCAAAATCTATGGAGCATCCTCAGGCCGTAATAATGGTCTGAATACATTCAGGCTGAATATTTAGCCTGAACCATTTGTTTAGCCCGAGCTAAAAAAAATAGCCCTAGGCACTTTTCCCAAAAAATAGCCCAAGGCACTTTTCCCGAAGCAACTGGTGTGAATATATGGAACGTCTATGGATATGCAAAATCTATGGATAATCTATGCAAAATCTATGGTCATCTATGGTCTATGGATAATCTATGGATAATCTATGCAAAATCTATGGATAATCTATGAATGCAAAATCTATGGATAATCTATGGATAGTCTATGCAAAATCTATGGACAATCTATGCAAAACCTGATGGATAATCTATGGATAATCTATGCAAAAACTACGCACAATCTATGCAAAATCTATGGATAATCTATCGATAAACTATGCAAAATCTATGGATAATCTATGCAACATCTATGGATAATCTATTGATAATCTATGCAAAATCTATGGATAATCTATGAATGGAAAATCTATGGATAATCTATGGATAGTCTATGCAAAATCTATGGACAATCTATGCAAAACCTGATGGATAATCTATGGATAATCTATGCAAAAACTACGCACAATCTATGCAAAATCTATGGAGAATCTATCGATAAACTATGCAAAATCTATGGATAATCTATGCAACATCTATGGATAATCTATTGATAATCTATGCAAAATCTTTGCAAGATCTATGAATACTCTATGGATAAACTACGCAAAATCTATGCAAAATCTTTGGATATGGATAATCTATGCAAAATCTATGCAACATCTGTGTATAATCTATGCAAAATCTATGGATAATCTATGAATGCAAAATCTATGGATAATCTATGGATAGTCTATGCAAAATCTATGGACAATCTATGCAAAACCTGATGGATAATCTATGGATAATCTATGCAAAAACTACGCACAATCTATGCAAAATCTATGGATAATCTATCGATAAACTATGCAAAATCTATGGATAATCTATGCAACATCTATGGATAATCTATTGATAATCTATGCAAAATCTATGGATAATCTATGAATGGAAAATCTATGGAAAATCTATGGATAATCTATGGATAGTCTATGCAAAATCTATGGACAATCTATGCAAAACCTGATGGATAATCTATGCAAAAACTACGCACAATCTATGCAAAATCTATGGATAATCTATCGATAAACTATGCAAAATCTATGGATAATCTATGCAACATCTATGGATAATCTATTGATAATCTATGCAAAATCTTTGCAAGATCTATGAATACTCTATGGATAAACTACGCAAAATCTATGCAAAATCTTTGGATATGGATAATTTATGCAAAATCTATGCAACATCTGTGTATAATCTATGCAAAATCTATGCAAAAACTATGAATAACCTATGGATAATCTAGGCCAAAAAATGCCACATATATGCACAATCTATGGATAATCTATGCAAATCTATGGATAATCTATGCAAAATCTATTCAAAATCTATAGATCATATATGCAAAATCTATGCAAAACCTATGCACAATCTATGAATAATCTATGGATAAACTATGCAAAATCTATGCAAAATCTATGGATAATCTATGGATAATCTATGCAACATCTCTGGTCTATGGATAATCTATGGATAATAACTGCAAAATCTATGCAAAATTTATGGTCTATGCAAAATCTATGCAAAATCTATGGATAATCTATGGATAGTCTATGCGACATCTATGGATAATCTATGGATAATCTATGCAAAATCTATGGATGATATATGGATAATCTATGCAAAAAATATGCACAATCTATGGATAATCTATGCAAAATCTATGGATAATCTATGCAAAACCGATGCACAATCTATGGATAATCTATGGATAATCTATCGATAAACTATGCAAAATCTATGCAACATCTATGGATAATCTATGCATAATCTATGCAACATCTATGGGTAATGTATGGATAATCTGTGCAAAATCTATTCAAAATCAATGGATAGTCTGTGGGTAATTTATGCACAATCTATGCAAAAACTACGCAAAATCTATGCACCATCTATGCAAATTCTATGTAAAATTTTATGCAAAATCTATGCAACATCTATGGATAATCTATGCAAAATCTGTGCAACATCTATGCAAAATCTATGTAAATCCTATGCAAAAGTTATGCAAAATCTATGCAACATGGATGGATAAACTATGGATAATACATCATGGATAATATATGCATAATATATGGATATGAT